TGCACTCCAGTCTGGGCGACAGAGTGAGACTCCAACTCAAAAAAAAAAAACAAAAAAAAACCAAAAAACAAAACCAGATAGTATTAGAGAAACATAAATGAACATAAAATACTTTACCTCCATTCTCATGATAATCCTATTGTTTCTGGTTGTGATACTCATTACATGCTGAAATCTCAAATCTCTGGCTTGAAGACCTAACTCTTGGTATAACTCAGTTTTCTTCCTTTCTATAAAATAAACAAAAAGAGTGGGTTAAACTAATAAATTAAAAGCTTAGATTTTAATGTCAGAGAACCCCTCACCCCGGTCCACCATCATCATAATTTTCTATTACTACCAGAAACAAAAGCTAAAATTAGTCTTTTTAATACATAAAAACATACCTCAAAGACATATTTTAGCTAAATCTGGTCAAACTAATTATTTTCTTCTCTTATCCATACTTCATAAATGTCTCAGTACTTAGAAGTCCCTTGGGATCAATATAAAAACTACAACTATGTATTACTAGAACCTATAATATCAATGTCTAGCTCTAGAGAAAGGTCATCTTTCTTGAATATGAATTGTATATAAATACATTTTCTGTTCTATCTCACTACAACATGATCTTCAGTATTTTAAATCTGTGAACAGACAAGCTCAGACTAATACAAAATGAGAAAATAAAACCATTTCTCAAATTAGATTCTCCTATCTGAAACCTAAATTTATTACCCGAGACAATTAACAGATGAAAGAAATTCAAGAAATCATACTGATTTAGCAGTATCTTTAATTGTAGTGTTAAACTACACCTGTGACAGAGCTCTAAGTAGAACAATCTTTTGATGGAGATATTGAGCAAAAAACACTCAATATATTCCACTAGGACTCCAGTAATGGCAGGAACAGGAGCATGTGGCTGGAAGTGAATGGGAGATACAGTTACACCGTAAAGTAATACCTAGTTTCACCTTTAAAAGTAGCTGTTGGGCAACCCTTTGGGTCCCCTCCTGCTGTGGGAGCTTTTCTGTCTTCTCAACAAATCCTATTTTATCCCCTTAAAAAAAAAAAGTAGCTGTCCACAGAGAATCACCAGGAGAAAGTTCCATTTGACTGCCATGCAGTGACCTGTCCCTCCCTGTCTATCATCACTCTGCAATGTCAGTGTATTATGGGATTCTGCCTTAAACAAGCTTCAAGAGAATGAATAAGAAGAGGGAAATGAAAGAGAAACAAAAGGGGAAAAGTGTGTCTCTATGCTTCAGCTCTACACTGGCCTCTCTGCTCTCCAACATATTCATTTAACATCCTGCAAGAGCAGAAATGGCTCCTGCCAGAAGAAAACAATTCTGGGAGAATACATACAGTCTGAGCACTGCCTGTTTCATTACGAGTGATGGACAAATGTCTAAGAAAGACTTCTTTCAACACACCTGTATACGCAAAGAATATTCTACACCAAACACTATAATTTCTCCATTTTCATAAGATTCATTCATTAGATGTTTAAAAAAAAGTGATTTAGAATAAAGAGACTCACCAAAAGAAGTAACATTTCCCTTTTTGTCAAATTTTGTCTGAAGATAGAAAAAAAAAAACCAAATTATTTTACTGAAATGCAGATATAAGTCATAACTGACCTTCTTTAGGTTAAATCCAACCATAAGCTAATAATTAAAAAAAAAATCCCTTTTTCCTTCGCTAGGACAAATCTGACCTTAGATTAACTTTCTATCTTGGTTCCCCTAGAAATGTAATAAAGGAGTATCAGTTGTATTACTAGGTACACTGCTTGCAGCAAAAATGACAAATTGACTGGTAGACTGCATGGGACTGGAAAGAGTATGAATGAATTACAGACAGGTGGAAAGCAATATCCCTGCCCTTCCTTGACAGGTGGTGGTTTTTGTACTTGGCCATGTTCCTCAACAGGGGCCCTGAAGCTGTGCCTCTGAGAGGCCCAAGATACTGGCACTATGGGCAATGGGGATTCCAAGTCAAGGTAGATCTTATACCCACCTGTGAGAATCTTATTCACTTGCACCTGATCTGTCACTTGGGGGACAGAAAAGTCACTGAATGGCTGCTGCAAAGACTTTTCTTTGAAGAGGAAACACCTGATACCTTCCTTTTTCTCCATCCTTTATCCTTCTGAGTAGACAGGGACCAACTGTGGGCTGTCTTGTGAATCTAAATATCTGCATGAGGCTTAGAAATCTCTCTAGTAATTATTGCAGAATCAATAAAGATTTACAGAAACTCTTCTGTAAATCTGAAAATGCACCCAATTCCTGTAAAGTAGAGGAATATTTTTCCGTAACGCTTACCCACAGTGAAGTTTGAAATTGTCAAATATTTAATGAATTGCTATGTGCTGACCTGTACTAATTACTATGAAATACTTTCAGAAAGACACTTTAAGATATAGAGTACAACATTATAGTTCTTGGGTTATTACCATGAAAACATATACATGCTATATGAATAATAATAGAATAAAACTCCATAACAGGATGGGTGTAGTAGCTCATGCCTGTAATCCCAGCACTTTGGGAGGCTGAGGTGGGAGGACAGTTTGAGTCCAGGAGTTGAGGTCATTCTAGGCAACATAGTGAGAACACATCTCTACAAACAATAAAAAAAATTAGCCAAAAACAATGAGAAAACCCCACAATATACATTTTAGCCTACTTCTCACAAGAAAATATAATATTAATATGAATATGTAAGTATCATAAAGTACCAGTTAAAGAAAAATTTATACCAAATAATGATTTCTATTTGTGTAATGCAGACTAACTTTCATCTTTAAACTTATTTCACAAATACACAAACTCACTACAAAAATTTTGAAAAGACAGATATGTAAAATAAAACTATTTTAATCATCTGAAATGACAAATATTAGAGAAAATCATGTTAATATTTCACTAAATGTTCCTTCAAACTTTTTCCTATAAACATACCAATGTTACACACACTGCTTTGTAATCTCTCTCCTTTTCCAACTTAGCAACATATGCTAAATATTTCTGTATTTTAATATTTACCTGTATCATTTTCTTTTTGATTTTCTTTAAAAGATCATATAAATTATGATTTTAAAAATGTTGGGCCAGGTGCGGTGGCTCACGCCTATAATACCAGCACTTTGGGAGGCTGAGGTGAGAGGATTGCCTGAGCCCAAGGGTTCGAGATCAGTGTGGGCAACTTGGTGAGACCTCATCTCCACAATAAATTAAAAAATTAGCCAGGCATGGTGGCATGCACCTGTAGTTCCAGCTACTTGGAAGGCTGAGGCAGAAGGATCGCTTGAGCCCAGCAGGTAGAAGTTGCAGTGGCTATGAGCCTGCCACTGCACTCCAGTCTAGACGACAGAGTAAGACTCCAACTCAAAAAAATGTTTATTTTGTAACTAGCTCACTTTCTATACTATTTCAAATAGCATCAATTACATTTCTTAAGTGTTCTTGGCAGACAGTTATTCTATCTGCAAAGGACTTTCTTTTACTAACATCTGATTTTGTATTCTTAACTAACTCTTCCAGAACAATCAATAAGTGATAACTTTTACATGCAATTCTGGAGGTTATCTAGTTCTAAATAGTTTACAAAGAAAAACTCTTACGTTAAGTCTAAATATTCATAATAATGGCTTATATATACACCTATATGATGCTTAGTATATTTGAGGCACTATTTAAGGGTTTTACATATGACTTAATGTCATCAATTCTAAAAAGTAGGTTATTCTCAGTTTACAGATGAGAAAACTAAAACATGTTATTATAACTTGTCCAAAAAGTCCACCTAGTCAATAGTAAAAGGCAGAGCTGAGACTGGAATTTAGGAAGTTAGGCTCAAAGCAAGTACACTTGTTCTTTTTAATCAGATTTCTTTCTTGAAAATGTTAGAAGTCAAAAGAAAAGGGGGAGGAATATTACAATCAGTCTCTTTCACCTAGAGTTATATTTGTTAACATTTTACCCCAATGGCCTTATTCTCTCTCTCTCTCACAAAATAAGTGGCAGGGAACAGTGGCTCATGCCTGCAATCCCAGCACTTTGGGAGATAGAGGCAAGAGGACTACCTGAGCCAAGGGGCTCTAGACCAACTTGCAGAGACCATGTCTCTATAATAAATTAAACAATTAGCTCAGTGTGGTGATGTGTGCCTGTGGTTCCAGTTACTTGGAAGACTGAAGCAGAAGGATTGCCTGAGCCCAACAGGTTGAGGCTGAGGTAGCTGTGAGCATGCCACTGCATTCCAGCCTGGGTGGCCAAGTGAGGTTCCAAACCAAAAAATAAATAATTAAAAAAATATGTGTGTGATATGCATTATTATTTTACTCATTTAAAAAAAAACATTTTAGTTGCCTGAGCCCACGGGTTCGAGGCCAGTCTGGGCAACTTGGCAAGACCTCATCTCTACAATAAATCAAGAAAAATTAGCTGGGCATGGCTAGTACATGCCTGTAGTTCCAGCTACTTGGAAGGCTGAGGCGGAAGGATCACCTGAGCCCAGCAAGTTGAGGATGCGCTGGCCGGGAGCATGCCACTGCACTCCAGTCTGGGTGACAGAGTGAGACTCCAACTCAAAAAATGACAAACAAACAAAAAACCACTTCAGCCAAAGTTACAGGTATCATGACCACTCAAAGCACGAGCTCTTAAATACTATACTGTGCTGCCTTGAAGATGCTTTCGACTATTATCCTGCAGAACACAGGCTCAAGACCTTTTATGGCTAGTAACCTTCAAAATACACTAATGGGGGAATCTTGAGTACAGTATCCAAGGGGAAAGCTCTGAACTGGGATTTGAAAGGTTCCACCTTTTATTTATTTATTTATTTATTTGAGTTGGAGTCTCACTCTGTCACCCAGACTGGAATGCAGTGGCTGCTCCCGGTCACGGCATCCTCGACCTGCTGGGCTCCGGCAATCCTTTCGCCTCAGCCTTCCAAGTAGCCAGAATTACAGGCATGCGCTACCACGCCCGGCTGATTTTTGATTTATTGTAGAGATGAGGTTTTGCCAAGTTGCCCAGGTGGGTCTCGAACCCGGGGGTTCAGGCAATCCACTCACCTCAGCCTCCCAAAGTGCGGGATTACAGGCTGAGCCACTGAGCCCGGCTGGTTCCACCTTTTAAAGGAGAGCTTGGTCAGGTGCAGTGGCTCACACCTGTAATCCCAGCACTTTGGGAGGGGGAGACGAGAGGATTGCCTGAGCTCAGGTGTTTAAGCAAAGGTTTAAGAACACTGTTAAGCAAATCTAGCAGGCACTCAGGTCACTAGCTAGGCACTAGTTATGCATCAGACAACATGATGCAAAATTATAATGGGTGTATTATAAAACTAAAAAATAAGTAATCAGGCCAGGCACAGTGACTTATGCCTATAATCCCAGTACTTTGGGAGGCCAAGGTGAGGGGATTGACTGAGCCCAGGGATTCAAGACCAGCCTGGGCAATTTGGTGAGACCCCCTCTCTACAATAAATCAAAAAATTAGCCAGGTATGGTGGCGTGTACCTATAGTTCCAGCTACTTGGAAGGCTGAGATGGAAGGATCGCCTGAGCCCAGCAGGTCAAGGCTGTGGTGGCCAGGAGTGTGCCAATGCCCTCCAGACTGGGTGACAGAGTGAGACTCCTACTCAAAAAAAAAAAAAAAAAAAAAAGTAATCTCTTGGCCAAAATTCCAACCAGTTATAATAAGCATTGGAAACACTTTCTGCAAGTTCTCAAACATACCATACATACTCACCACAGTAAATATTGGGGCTACACTGGCTAAAGTGGCTTGAGAAACATCAGAAGTTCTAAACCGGTACATTTCACCTGAAGAATAAATTAAGAGAATTCCTACAGTTAATCTTCATGTAAAGCTAAAATACAACTCCTATGTAAAGGCTTTCAAATTATTTTACTACATTTAAAAATCTTTTTCCTATAGGAAAAATAAATACTCTTACTAATTTTAATATTTGTAGATGATTACCTTAGGTTTGGCAGGAAATGACTTTTAAAAGTAACAGCTGAGGTAAGACATTAAAATAATTCATGAAATCCACTCACTCACCTTTCTAATTCTCACTGATATCTCAGACATGGATGAACAAAATGTACAACACAGTGCTCTGAGATTTAATGAAAATGTCTGGTCTTCCCTTCTGTATAATTTAAAAGGCACTTCATGCACATTTTATTTTAGAAGACGCAGGTCCTAAGTACAACCTGAACTTTCAGCATTCCAATATCAGAATTATTTTACTGATTACAAATTATGAAACCTATAGATTTTACTTCTTTTCTATAGATATACTTTACAGTGAATACTTATGAAATACTCCACTGAATTGGAATGTGGACTCCATTAAACTGGAATTAAGATAAATCTTTATTTGAAAATTAGTCTACTTAAAACATATGATTAGACTGCAATGAAGTGAACTCTTAAGTATAATCAAGTAAATTTAATGACTGACAAAGGGCAGTTTTATGATTCCAAAGAAATCACACCGACTCCAGAAAATGTGTTAAAAAAAATCCTTTTTGATCTTATTCTTTCCTACTATATTCATTTAATGATTCATGTAATTTGTTAATCTTTTTTTTTTTTTTTTTAAGTTGGATTCTCACTCTGTGGCACAGGCGGGCTCAGGTGATCCGCCTCAGCCTTCCAAGTAGCTGGAACTACAGGCACGCGCCACCACGCCCGGCTAAGTTTCTGATTTATTGCAGAGATGAGGTCTCGCCAAGCTGCCCAGGCTGGTCTCAAACCCGTGAGCTCAGGCAATTCTCTCACCTCAGCTCCCGAAGTGCTGGGATTATAGGCGCGAGCCACCGCGCCTGGCCTGTTAAGTTTTTTGTTTCCCTTTTTACAAAATACAAACTACTGCTACAAGAGTAAGATGAGTAAAGGTAAAAGGCATTTGCTAATCAGTCACAAGTTAAAGATTCTGAATCAATGCTTGTCCTGAAAGGTTCCCCCACTTGCTAAAACTGGGTTCCCAAGCATTATCAAAGGAGGGAACAACTCATGTAACTCAGTTGTAAAGGCTGTCCAATCGGTGTGGGGAGGGAGGTGGTGACGGTGATTTACTTTGGGAGGCTTTTGGGAGCACAACTCATACAATGGCCAACTTATGAACACCTCTCACAAGAGCACTTAAGCAAGGTGTTAACCGTGTGAACACCGTCTGTAAGCAAGTTCCCATTATCTTTACAAAATCTACAGCAAGAGCGGTGGGGGAGAATACGGAGCTCGCACGCGGGCCGCGCCCAGTGCAGGGCCACATTCTGAGCTGCTGCGATGCAGCTCGGCCCGCGGACCCGCGCAGGTTGACAGGACACCCGGGCGCCCAAGGACCTCTGGTGAGGCCGAGGCCTGCAGAGGACTGGGGGCAACCACAGCCGCGCCAAGCTGGGCGGTTGGAGGGAACCTAAGGATACGGAGAGAACAAAGCCTTGGGGCTGCAGGCCGGGGAGGAGCAGTACCCGCTCTGCGTAGTCGGCGGAGTCCGCACGGCGGCACGGCCCAGCTCCTTCCAAGCTGGTGGGCTGCACGGCCGCAGGCAGCTACGGGAGGAGCAACAGAGGTCAGGTCCAAAGCCAGGACACACAGGGTCCGCCGGGGAAGTCCCATGGCGCGGGGCAGACGCCAGGTGAAGCTCCGCAGGCATTCCATGGCTCTGGAGCGAGGAGGAGGCAGCAGCCAGACCCCAGCCCTTCATGCCGGGCAGCGGCTGCTCAGGCCGGCACCACCGGGCCGGCTCTACAGCGAGACCGGCGGCCACT